CAGAATTCCCCAGCCAGCGAATGCGAATGCTGGCTGGGGAATTCTGGGAGTTGAAGTCCAGACATCTTCAAGTTGCCAAGGTTGAGAAACACTGGACTAGATGACCTCCAAGATCCCTTCCAACTCTCTCATTCTGCACTAGCTGACCATATCTTTCCTCCATCTGGAGATTTATGTAGATCAGGATAATTTCACCCACAATTTGGCCCTTCAAAGTCTTCAAAGTAAACATTGAAACCAATACATTCATACAGTCTCTCTTGATACACACAGAGAGAAACAGACAGAGAGAGAGAAAAAGAGATAGACAGAGAGAGAGAGGGAGAGAAACAGAGAGAAAAAGTCTTTAAGAAGATGTTGGATAGCCATTTGTCTGAAACAGTATAGAGTTTCCTGCTTAGGCAGGGGGTTGGACTAGAAGACCTCCAAGGTCCCTTCCAACTCTGCTATTGTATTGTATTGATTCGTCTTCGTTCTTCAATTCCCACATCAATTTATCCATTGCAGCACAAATCAGAATTTTCCTAATCACTTCCTCTTCTTGTGGAATTTCTCTGTTTTTTCCAGTTTTGGGCAATATGTTGTTATTGCATATTATTATGTTTTTATTTTCGGTAAGCCGCGTAGAGTCTCCGGAAGCGAGGAGGCAGCTTTTATGAATTTTATAAATAAACAAAACGTTCATCGTCTTTTCTTTTCTTTTTTTTTTCCTTTGGCCTTAAAACGTTTGCTTTGCTTCCATAGGTTAACCAGCTACCTCTCGTGAAACCTTATTTGCGCTCAGTCCAGAATCACAACAACAAAGGCGTCAACGAGGCACTGAACAACCTTCTGACGAAGGAGGAAGATTACCAAGTGAGTTTTGGAAGGGGACCTTGCACACTTAACGACGGTTGTGGATACAGCATGGATCTCAACCGACCCCCTGATTCGCAGCTTGCTGCGGCATATGTGATGGTTTAGTAGCAATAGCAATAGCAGTTCGACTTATATACCGCTTCATAGGGCTTTCAACCCTCTCTAAGCGGTTTACAGAGTCAGCATATCGCCCCCACAGTCTGGGTCCTCATTTCACCCACNCCCTGCTCAGAGTTGGAACCCTGTCCAGGGTCCTCCACATCCTCCAGAGCCGACTCAGAGGGCCCCTCGCTCTCGGAGTCTGGTGGCAGCTCCAATGGCACCTGTTGGGCCACAACACTGATGTGCACTGTGGCTTGACTTGCTCCCTGGACCAGTTAAAGTTGCTAGGGAGGGCCTTCAAGATTGACACAAGGACATTCCTTTTTAATATATATATATATATATATATATATATATATATATATATATATATATATATATATATACACACACACACACACACACACACACACCACATTTTTCTTTTACAGGTCTAAGTATTTAGTAAACAGTGTATTATCTGGGTCATTTTACATATGCATAATAATAGTAGTAACAATCTTTACTTGTGTGACTCTGAGATGAAAGAAGATCAGCTGACAGAGAGAGGGAGAGTGGCTCCATTGGCTGTGGAGGAATCTGGGGAAGGGCAAAGACAGGCTGGGCAGAACAGGGGAGAGGTAGAACAAGGGAGAAGGGGGTTCAGAGGAAGACTCAAGACCCACCACCACCACCCCTCCTCATCCTAGGGCGCGCCGGGAAGTACGCAGAAGAGAGCAACGTGGGTGTGTGGGTTACGAGGAAGGAAAGGGCCCCGATTCCCTTCACAAGGCACACCTGGGGATGGAGTTTAAAGGAGAGGCAGTTGGGAGGGGCATTTGTCGGGAACAAATGTTGAAATCATCTAGAGTTGTGCCTTGCATTTCTCCCGACTGTTTGAATTCCCGCTGTCCTTCTGTGTGTTTATCTTGCCTTGCTGAAATTATTCTGGGACTCATTATCTTATTCCGCTGGAGTGATTGATTGCAATCATTCTGCTTACAGCGTTTGGACTGGAGTATCTTCAGGTTTGTGGAAGAGCTGCTCTCCAGGCCAGAAAGAACCACAACACTCAATGTGGTTGAGTCTTGGAAATGGATTCTTCAACATTGGGTTGTTCAATGTATGTCCCTGTTTTCTCCACTCATTCTTCACCCTCCAGGTTGCCAATGTGGAGTTGTATTATAGAGCCCTTCAATTTTATTTGGATTACAAGCCGCTGCTGATCAACGACCTCCTCCTCGTATTATCTCCACGGCTGGATCACACCAGGACGGTCAGCTTCTTCGCCAAGGTGACTGAAAAAGACCCACTTCTGGGAAAGAATTCTCCAATCACTCCATTCAGGTGGAATGCTCTTAAGGCACTTTGGCACCAGGGACCGGTTTCGTGGAAGACAAATTTTATATTTATTCTTTATTTTTATTCCTTCTCCATCATGTTTTTTCCCCTTGTTTAAGTTTTTTATTAGACACCCATTAAAACATCGGACATAGCGTAACCATCCTGGCAATGTCTTTGCAATACATGCTAAAATATAAAGTTAAATATCATAACCACCATGCTTATTTACAATTGGTCTATTCAGTATTACAAATATAAAAAATACCATACTTCCATCCTTGTTCCTTTGTTCTTGTCTTACACATTTTTCATACGTAATTCTAATCTCCATTCTATAAACCTAGTCATTTCTTATATTGGGTCTCTCCCTTTTTGTTCCATCCATTGATAAAATTTATCCCAGATCTTATAATATTCTGATTCTAATTTCCTGACAGTTAGAACAATGAATCAGTGGAACAGAAGTTGCCTCCAGAAGTTGTGAATGACCCAACACTGGAAGTCTTTAACAAGATGTTGGATAGCCATTTGTCTGACATGGTGTAGGGTTTCCTGCCTAGGCAGGAGATTAGACTAGATCAGTGTTTCTCAACCTTGGCAACTTGAAGATGTCTGGACTTCAACTCCCAGAATTCCCCAGCCAGCAGAGCTGGAGAATAGTGATAGATAGATAGATAGATAGATAGATAGATAGATAGATAGATAGATAGATAGATAGATAGATAGATAAAGATAGATATAGATTACATAGATATAA